ATATATATATATATATATATAATTTATTTCATTATTTGAACTTACACCTTTAGGTCGGTGGCACTCAATGACAATCGGTGCGTTCGTAAATAAAAAGGTACAAACTTAACTAAACAAATACATAAAAAAGAAAAATATGCATATAAAAATATACATATAAACAAATATGAACTCCGTAACTAAAAACAAATGAAAATCACAGAAATGATAGAGCAGATAGCCTTTGGAAACCAAGAAAGTTCAAAGAGCTTTCTGCTGTCTTTAACTAAATAACAATTAAGACTAACTACATAATAAAAAAAAATACACAATGTTCAGAAATACAGAACTTAATTTATAATAAGAATTAAATATGTTTAATTTCTGCTCTCTTTTTCCAAGCCGTCTTAGCATAAAGTTTACAAAATTTATCAAACATCTGCTCCTTCAATAGATAGAGGAATAGCTGTTGATCCTAAAACATAATGCAGTTTATTGTCGATAGTCGAGTTTGAGAATTCATTCTAGATATTATTATAATTCATTAATGCATGTTCAAGTTTGTCCAACTTTTCTAATCTTATGTTTGAAAGAGCGGGACAAATAAACAGAAAGTGTCTTAAAGTTTCCTCTTGATTAATGTTACAAAGTGTACAAAAACCATCATTTTCTTCAGATCATTGTCTGTTATCCAAAGGCAACGTGTTCGAGCGAAGTTAGTCCTAATTTTGGGTTACTCACTCTTTATTGCACTTAGTGCGCGCCATACCTATTTTTATTGGCGTTCCATACTCGATTTCTTTTTTCCGGATTATTCGGTCTCTAAATTAACTTTCTCGTTGGTGGCGCTGTCCAGAATGAGAAAAAAAAATAAAAAAATAAGAGACTTCTGGCAAGTCTAGAGCGAAGTTTAAATTTTAGGGATACGCCTTCAAAATCTAATTTATCTAAAAAATATTTTTCAATTTTTTTGTCCTTAAATAGAGCAAAGTCCGTGAGAGATGTCTTACTAGCAACATTCTCTTTCCATTCATTATTAAATAGGCCTATTCCTTTTTTTAAAAATCAAATAAAGGATTAACCAAATATGTATTGTAACAATTGTTAAGCAGGTATTCTAGGTCTTCAGATTTACATTTTGTAAAAATATCATAAATACATTTTAATAAATTTGAAACGAAAATCTTAGGATCACAATCAAAAAGTTTAGTTGCATTAAAAAGTATTTTTGGCTAGCGATATGATTCCCTTTTAATTAAGCGACCAAAATATTTAATTCGAGAAATATCATGCATGATTTGAAATGGTATCCAGCCAAGTTCCCTATAAATTACAGATCGTGGTGTACTCATAGAGGCCTTTAGAATATATCTAGCTATCTGTAATTGAAGTTTTTCTATTTTATCTATATCTGATTTATTTATGGTACACCATACATCTGACCCATAATTAATTGAAGGGAGGGCAATTGTCCTCCAACACAATGTATCAATGAAATTTTTAAATATAACCAGAAATGTTTAATTTAGATATTACTTAATATTAACCATATACGGTAATGGTTTAATAGGCATGTTGATTATGACAAGACGTCATTAATTGGTGGCAATGGCAATCCTTATGGAGACGTTTGCTACAGTATTGCTCGTGAGGGTCCAACTAAGCCCGACTCGCGTACTTTAAAAGGTTCTGCCGTTATGCAGGTGCTAATCGGTGTGTTGATGCTGATTTGTGGAGTACTGATCCTTCTGTTCGTGGATTGTCAATTTGCTAAGGTGTATGTTGGAGTCTGGAGTGGCGTATGGGTAATAAATATTATTATCGTTATCATCCTCCTTATCATCATCACCATCTATATCATCATCACCACCATCATCATCATCGTCTTCGTCGCCGTCATCATCATGCGTCATCGTCATCATTACCCCGGCAGAGTCATATCATAATCATCATAGACTTAATAATAGATGATGATGAATATACCAAACTTAATATTATGTGATTTATGATAATAATAATCTTAATCATCATCATCTAAAATAATAATAATAATAATAATTACCACCATCATTTTCATTGATTGTTCTCATCAGTATCATTACTATTGTAAAATACTATTTTTGTTACTTAAATAAGATCGATGACATTGGTTCTATTTTAGACCTAAAATTAATATATTTATCATTTTTACAAATTAAGGATCGTGATAGTTTCATAATTATATTGATCATCGTCAACATATTAACACTAATTTTAATCCGTGATAGATCTTGTAGATGCTCGGAATTAGCACACTAAGCTCCGTCACTTTTTATTTTAAATTTATGTGTCGTAATTTTGAAAACTACAAGTTCAATAAATAAAGACACAATTACCAAATGTAGCATTGGTTAAAAATGGCCATTATATAGTGCGGTACATACAATATAGTAGGTTTACTACGATTATTTTAATTGATATTTGTAACTTGGCTCTAAATTACCTGTGATCAGCATGCCACACACAAAAATGAACTAAACTCAGTTCTGCTAGCATATCAACCTTCTAGCATATCAACCTTCAAAAGCAATTGTTTGAACGTTGCATTATTCAGCCGCACAGGAATGAAACAAATTATCCAGCGTAAAAAAGAGCACAAAAAGTGACGGAGCTCATGTATCGTGGGCACCCCTCCCTCCTCGATCTCCCAGGATACACTACTGCCAGGTATAATTGAAACGTACCGTATGACTCTAACGTAAATTTTAATCATAAAGCTAATGTAAATATTATAATTCTTCCAAAATAATGTTCAAATAATCATGATTCTAATCCTAACATAATCACAATGCAAAGTTTATGATTTGTCTCCTATAATAACATAGTTCATTTTGTCTGGATGGATGGGTCTGTATGCTTCTTCTGACGCATCCAAAGGATGGGTAAGATTGCCACAAATATTTTCTTCCATTTGATCAGAGATATTTTGAAGTGTATTTTACCGACAATTATAAATGTAGATTATTATTCATATATTTAAATATGTTAGCCTATTATTACTTTGAAAAAAGTCTGATCATCTTAATTCGATGGGAGTGCCATGAACGCATTGTTGACGGAATGGCACTATTGGTCTATTAGTATTATTTTTATCTATTAGTATCTATTATTACTACTAATATAGTAATAATATTTATAGGGGCCTCATTATAATATTTACTATTGAGACGTGACGAGAGGTTACTTAAAATATGTTATGGCCCACACAAGTAGGCAATATAATCGTAAACTAAATATATTAAATTAATGTAGAGTGCTTCTTACATATTTCTTGCTTATCGAGTTTATGTTATTACTCATATTTCTGTCATAGATAATAACATACTTGACTATGTCATCTGTGTCTCTGCTGGCCTCCTTCGCAGCGATTGTACTGAAAGCATATTCGTTGATCTTAGAGGAAAACGTATGTTAATCATGCTTGTAATTTTACTTGTGATATTATTGTTTGCCAATTTTTCTACAACACTCGATACACATAATCATATTCTAAGAAGAAGACCGAAATAAAAAAGAATTAAGGAAAATGCATAGTCTACTAGCCTCTGTTTATTCACCTCTCCTTGCGTCCTTTTTTACCTGATGATGCTTATTATTCATTTGTTTATATTCGGATACCCTTGTTGTAGAACATCTACCCTCTCTCTTTTTGATATATGATCACATTTTTATCCTAGTTGTACATTCACCTGATGAAGACCACTGCGTGATCGAATAAATTTGTTAGTCTGAAAAGTGCTGTTTGTCAAGTTTCATTTACTGTTATCATCTAGACTAATGCGGCTACCCTATCTACATTCATCGGAAAAATACATGTTATAGAACCAAAAGTAAATTGCTATAAACAGCTGTTGATAAAAAGACTAAAAATACGGGAAATGATGTATCTACTATCGAGTCCCAATACGATGGCGTATCAGTCTCTATACTTGGCCATTTTGAATTTGATATTAAACATTCAGCGACAAAACCTACTTATGATCAGTTTCGAGAAAGACTTGTGTTTGTTTTGACTTTCATATCCAGCGAAATTTAGTTATAACAGAAAACCTTTCGTTATTTTAAAATTTCAGGCAGAGTGTCTCAGATTGGAGGAAATTTTACTGATTGCCGCGGCCAGCGAACTTGTTGTCAGCATTTTCGCCACCATTCTCTGTAGCATGCGTCTCAATTCACTGGTATGCAAATTAGCATAGATGATGATGATAATAATAATAATATTGATAATGATAATGATAATGATAATAATAACAACAATAACAACAACAACAACAACAGTAATAAGTAGTAGCAGCAGATATTTCAATTTGGTCTCACTGTAATACTGTACATTTAGGTTTATTTTCCAGACCCTTGGGCCCTGCCACTCAACCCCGTCATTCATGGGAGACCGGTAGCGATTAAGCCCTGTATATCTGTTTTCTCTTGTATTTTACTATACACTTATTTAATCCTTTATATTTTAAAACACCTCAATTTAAGCATTATAAAATGAAAACTTTTTGCATGCAACTCACTAAAAAGATAAAACCACATTTTAGTATAGGACTACATATGCAACATGTGATTCATCAATCAAGTACTTGATCCAATCATCAAGGTAATATCAAGGTACATACAAATACTTAATGTATTTTTGTAATTTGATCTGTTTGTTTTCAACAGAAGAAGCAAGACTATGGATTCACGAAGCGTTCTCCAATTTACAAACCGATATCGTCACAATAGAGTCTATAAAAGCACCTGAATCCAGTATTATAAAACATGTATACAGTATTTTTAAAATAGTGTCTTTTGTCAGTTTGGAATATAATCATACTTAGATGTAATTAATGCTTCTACAATCTATTTTATATTCAAATTATAATGAATAATCTATCATTATAATTGGAATAATAAAAATAATTATTGTAATTATTTAAAAAAATGCAGTATATAAATATTGTTCATTAATACACAGAGTGTGAAACAGACTCAGTATAATTGCAGTACACATACACACCACACACACGCGCACACACCTACATACACACCACCCCCGCAACACACACAACTTACATTACAATAACAAAATTCTTATTTCATTTCATTTCATTTATTTGTCTTAAAACATTAACATTTACAAAAACAGAAACAGCAAAGAACAAACAAAAGAGAACATGAGACAGAAACACTCCAAAATTAAAGTTAATCATTATCGAGTGGGGCCCTTTGACAAAATACAATGACTTACAATAACATTTTGCTTAAAGATAGAACATCTGAAGTTAAATATTTAAAATAATCAGTAGTGTTGTAAAACGAGCAAAATTAAAAGGCATATTAAAAAAAAGGTGTTTAAATACTCTGGATACAGCATTTTTATATAGAAGCAAACTGTATTTTTGTTTTTCAAGTGCTTTTGAATGCTTGAATTTCAAGTTCTTAAAATGGTCACATACATGTAGTTTATTTTTAACTAGAAACAGGAGTCTTGAACTATAGCTAACTAGGGACAACAACGTAAGGGATTGGATATCAAAACAGGAATATAATTGGATTGAATTGGATTAGAATAGAATTATATTTAGCAGTGGTGGATTCAAGGGCCTTCCAATTTTTTAAAAATAATAATAAAGAAATATATAAAATTCAATTCAAAAATACTTTATTATCCAAAAGGAAATTTATACACACATTTAAGTCTGAGTGTCTTTTCCAGCGATATAAAGGTGCCATAATCCTAAATTATTGATCCCTCAACCGTAAAAGACCCCCTCTATTTCGAATTCTTGGATCCACCACTGATTAGGTATATCAATAACATCCATAAAGACATTTTGATCCTCAACAAATTATCAAAGTTAATTAAAAAGATATTACGCACATAGGTACTAATGTCTATAGGAAGCCTATGCCTAGGAACAACAATGGTAGGTAAAGCCCCATCCTGTATTTAATAAATTTGGTACTGTAGTTTATAAGTTTTTAAGCCCTCATCAATAGCATTATTATGTTAGTATCCAGAGCAGAACATGTTTTTTCAGAACATAAGTTTTTGGTCTACCATGACGTCATCATGTAATTAGACAATGTAGCCTAGTTTGCTTGTACAGTACTCTTGGATTCGTTCGTGCTAATTTTTATAGAGATAGTTATTATATTAAATCTCAAAATATATTAGTTTTGTGTCGGCCTACATTGTATATTTTATATGTTAAGCTTGAGTGTCCATCAGGTCGGTGTTGATACGTACGTGTGTTTACTGGTGTTAGTGAGTGAGCTTAGTGTCCATCGTGTTGGTGTTGAATTGCCAGTGTGTGTTTACTTGGTGTCAGTGAGTGAGCTCTGTCACAGGTCGGTGTTGAGAGGGGACCAAAATGGCTCCTGTCTCTTATACACATCTAGATGTAGCCTGAAAACCCCTGCTGGGATCAAGGGGGCGGAGCTCAGGCATTTTTGATAATTTGAGGTCTTATATATTTAAGAGATTTTTGAAGACCTGCATGTATTAAACGGTTTTTCAGTGGCGGATCCTGGAATTGGAAGAGGGAGCCAAGGAAAACTTTCACAGATGGAAATACCACCTCAGCCCCACCATGGGTGGGACTGAGGGAAAAACATTTGATTATGGGACCACCAAATGGGCGGAAATTAAACTCTCCTTCCATTTGAATTTTTTTCATTTTGAAAAATTTAGAGTGGACGGGACAAGTGGGCCTCCTCGAATCCGCCGCTGTCAGTGACTGATCTAGGAATTCGAAACAGATGGGTCAGGGAAGGACTTTCACAGATTGAGAGTCTATAGCACCTGAGCCCCACCATGGTTGGGGCTAAAGAAAATTTATGATTATGGCACCTCTAGATGGCCGGAGGTAGCACTCTCAGACTTGAATATAATAATAATTTTAAAAAATGACAAATTTAAGGGGGAGGGGGCAGGGGCACCACCACTCGGAATAGTGCAGCACAGTCTTGAAGCACATTCCTTCATCGTGGCTGCTGCTGTGGATGGACGTTGTTACAGGAATTCGAAATAGAGGGGGCAAGGAAAGGACTTTCTCAGGAGGTTGAGGGTCTAAATCCGCGCCTACTGCAGTATCAAGATTATTTCCAACAGCAAGGGCGTCGGAAGCGGTCCGGCTGGTCCGGTTTTGGCCGGACCAATACTTTACAACTCGATATTGTTTGTAAAATTCTACTTTCTCTGACGCAATCAAACATAACTTGCACATTCAAATTTGGAGGGGCTTCACCTCCCTCGAACCTGCCACTTCCCAGTGGTGAAACTGGGTTCCGATGGGCCCTTTTTCGAGAGTACAGTCATCATACAGGTTAAGAATGCTATATATAGATAAATAATGACCAAATCACAATTAATTTTTTAAATAATATGACAGACAGTAGTGTATTACAAAAATTATATAAAAATTAATTGTTGAAAATTTCTTATCAATTCCATAATTATATGAAATGAGATGCTTATTTCACAATGAGTGAATAAATAAAGTGCAAGAAACAACAACGCATTATATACCGTAATGCAATATGAATAACAATGACTATAGGTCTATTATTATTTATACGTATGTTGTGAAATACCTAAAAAAAGATTCTAGATTCAAGAACAATTTATTGTCCATTTTAAAATAGGAATTCGTTTTTTCTTTACAACAGTCTTGGTTAAGAAGGATAAAATTACATTAAAAATCACACAACAAAACAACTTGGCAATGACGAGAAATACGTTAAGATATTAACACTTTAAAATAGTAAAGTAGTAAAAAGTCAAAATAAGAATCACTGTTTAAAACTGTTTAAAATTTACTGTGTATCTCAGAAACAGACCAGCCGTTTTAGTAAAGATTAAAACTATAAAACCCTAGCATTTTGCTATGCTAATTAAATAAAACATGTGTTATGTATACACGTGTATATATGCATATTCCTCCATGAATAAATAAAGTGCAAGAAACAGGAACACAATTTTATATTACCGTATATAATGCAATATGAATAACAAGGAATGTGCGCCTATTATATTTATACGAGCTGACGGATATTGTGAAATACATATAAAAATATGTGGCCTAATTAAATTAACATGTGTTATGCATTATGCATTATTATTATTATTATTATTATTATTATTATTATGCACTATACATTATTTAGTATGTTAACCTATTAAATGTCTTTTGAATTAAGCTAGGTGAATACGTTAGATTTTCAAATAGCAGACTGCTAGTATTATTTAGTATTATTATTTAAACTTTTGGTTTATTAATGGCAGGAGGACCATGTATGTAGGTATTCCCATCATATGGACAGATCTACCAGGTGGTAAGTACTCAATAGAGCATGCAATAAGAATCTCGGGCATCAACTTTGGGTGGAGGGTCAATATTAGAATAAGGTACTGTACGTTTCTACAGGGGTTCCACTCCGGCCCTACAACAATCCTGGTCAGGGTGGTAGGACAAACGCCAGAGAAATCAGCAATTTTGATTAGATACTTATTAACTGATAGATACTTATTAATCAATTCAACTGATCGATTTACACTTTTTTGATTAAAAAATAATTACTATGACATGGCCAAGGCCGCCCAATATACATACGTACAACCCGTAGCTGAGCTATCATGTCAATTCTTTTAGAGTATTTTTGCAATATATCATTACTGTTAAAGCAATGTTTAACTACTATTACTTGTACGTACGTTAATATTTATGAAATCCCATGGTGACAAATACAAATGATAAAGCATAATTGGTTAAATGATATAGTCCTATAATAGAACAGTGCGTGTTTTGAGCTATAGACAAAGACAAAACTAATGAAAAGAAGTCATGTTAATGCAATGATGATTATGTATATTTGGCCGGACCAATAAAAATAGATTCCCACGCCCCTGAACAGAGAATAAAGATGATTTTAGTGAAACCAGAAGGAAGATGATTTTGTACGCTGTGAATCATTGACACACAAGCGCCGGAAAAAACACTCAAAAAGCTTATACACCGTTAAAGGTCGTTGCTTGTACTGTACGACGAATTCCATGGCGGTCCTAGGAAACTGCTCTGGATGGTCAAGGAGGTTTGGTGGATGGATTTCTGGAATGTGCGAGAGTGAGTTTTGAAATTTTTTTGGAAAATGTGGACCTTTGGTAATTTGGGGGAAGGTGGGTGCGTACGCACCCGTCGCACCCCCTGCGTACGGGCCTGCTGTGCAGGTGGCGCCAGAGGGGCTGCTATAGCCCCCTCGTCGGGGGGAGCCTAGCGACGAGTACATTCCGTCGGGGATCTAACAAAAATTAAAAAAAAATATTTTTACATGTCTGTCCGTTTAGCAACCATATCGCCTTTATTGACCTATTTGTGTAGGCCTACTGTTTGTGTTAACTTTTAATCACACTAATACTGTGACAAAAACAATAATACGATAAAAATAATAATAATAATATTAATAATAATAATAATAACAATAATGATATAATAACATAAGTTCACGTGCCGTTTTATTGTAAGTTATCCGACTACCGTATATATTACTTTTTACATTGAGTTAAGCCCATGAAACATTCTTCTTCACAATGAATTAATTACGTTCAAACATCTATTGGAACTAAGTGAGCAGAACAGTGTCAAGTGTCAAAAACAGCGTTTTGACACTATTTTTTAAAATGTCAGTGCATATTAATGTTATGTATTGAAATAAAAAAATAAAACAAATTCGCCTCTCCCCGTTTGAAAAATTCTGGATCCGCCCCTGTTCATTGGGACTAATTAAAAATGGTTTACGTTTACTATGACAAATGCTCGTTTGGATTTATTTATTTTTATTTATTTCAACATTATTTTACGAGGGTGGTCCATCCAGCCGGAGCTGATCATTAGGGACTCACAATACATAACACAAGTAACAAAGGAAATATAAATAGAAAAATAAAGAAATTAAAATGAAAAAAAAAATAAATAAAAAAAAAAACATAAAAAATAAAATAACTAAGTAACAAAGGAAAAGAAATTATTACATAAAAATATATTATATAAATAAAAATTTAAATTAAAATCAAATTGACTATAAAATAATTAAAAGCAGAATAAAAAGGCACAAAAAAAGCAAAAAATAACAAAGTTAAAAATAGAATAAAAAAAATTTATATATATTTATAAGTTAAAATAATAACATAACACAAGTAACAAAGGAAATATAAATAAACAAAGAAATTAAACTGAAAAATTATAATAAAAACCAAGTAACAAAGGAAAAGAAATTATTACAATATATATACATATTATATAAATAAAATTTAAAATAAAATCAAATTAACTATAAAATAATTAAAAGCAGAATAATAAGGCAAATAAAGAAAAGCAAAGAAAAACGAAGTAAAAATAAAATTTTAATTAAGTTTAGGGCCAGTTTGAAGAAAAAAAAAGAGACTGAGGGATGGGGGGGCAGTTTGAAGAAAAAGAGAGAGAGAGAGAGACTTTCTTATGTTTCCTTATCTTATCTTTCTCTTTTCTTTCTCATGTTACCTTATCTTTCTTACCTTGTTCTTTCTCATGTGACCTTTTCTTTCCTTTCTTATGTTTCCTTAACCATTACTTTTCATTATATTTCTTAAGATTCCTGTTCTTTTCCTTTTCTTTCTTAGAGAAAAAAAAATATCAGACCTCTCACCTCAAGTTTCCCAATCCTTACAATCATATCCATTCAGTTTCCTTACCTATTTATTCAAGTTACATGCAAGTATCGTCGTGACTTTTCTTATTCCTTATTTCCTAACTACTTACCGCCTAATGTTGGATAGGCATCTCTTAGCAGATGTGATTTCAGAGACAATTTGAAAGTATTTATTGACTCACAGGATCTAATTGTGAAAGGCAGATTGTTCCACAAGCGTGGAGCAGCAACAAACAAGGCTCTGTCTCCCCAGGAATTGTGAGATTTGGGCTGATGCAGGAGGAGTTGATTGGAAGAACGTAAGTTACGTTTAGGAGTATACCAATGGAGCATATCTGCGATGTAGTCTGGAACCAAGTCAGTTTTGAATTTAAAAACGATCAGCAAAATTTTGTAAATAATCCGGTGTGTTAGAGGAAGCCAGTGTAAATCTTTCAGAATGTTGGTAATAAGTGCATATTTTGGAGTTTTAGTGATTAGACGTGCAGCCG